GGAATACTTTATAATTTACCTAACAATCATACTTCTATACACTGTGAATTACGTCGACTATGATTGTGTCTTGAGTTCAATTTATTTTTTTCATAAAATCAATTCTTTATGTCCTAAAATCACAAGTAATCCTTTAAGACCTTGTGATAATCCTTTTTACTGCTTTGGCGAGAGGTAACCACTTTCCACTTATTATATGTGCTAATATGTTGCCTGTGAGTATTTTGCTATTTTAGAATAATGATGTTCTATTTGGAATTTGAGTAGATATATTACACATTTTGAGCTATAAAAATTGTCTTGTGAGATTTTTGGAATTGTGATTGAGAAGTTTAAAAAAAATATTTGATCTATATCTTATGAATATCTGTTGAGAAAAGATTAAGACATTTTTTCGTTATATTGTGAATGATTGGTTATTATTTGGATTTTTGGATTGTGCCCTATCCTACCACGTGGTAAGGTCGCCATTGGTGCACATTGATTGGCTTCCTTCATCCCCCATAGTGAGAGATAGGCATTTGTGGCTTCCTATTCGTCCTCCAGAATGAGAGACAGGCCTATATATCCGATTGATCCCTCATAGTGAGGGATGGACTTGTGCAGCTTGTGTGTTAGCCCCCATAGTTAGGGGTGAGCAAAACCAAACCATAACCGAAAATCAAACTGAACCGAATTTAATTTCGGTTTTTCAGTTCAATTATTTCGGTTTTTGGTTATATATTCTGTTTTTATTTTTCTAACAATTCGATTTCGGTGTTTGGTTCAATTAGTAAAAAAAAATTCAGTTATAACCTAATAACCAAAATAAATATATTATATATTTATATTTAATAAATATTATTATAAAAAATATATATGTGGGTATATGTGAAATTTTTAAATTTTAAATATATTTATATTCAATAAATATGGTTATAATAAATATTATTATAATAAATCACATTGAATGATGAAATATTTATTAATTAATGGTTATAATTGTGTTTTATTATTATTTTTAATTTAAAATTATTTTTCATATTTATATGTTTCGGTTAATCAGTTAACTGAACCGAAATTTTTGATTAATTCGATTTCGTTAGTTCAGTTAATCGGTTTTGGTTCCTGTTCGGTATTTAAAATTTACTCTATTCGATTGTTCGGTTAATTCGGTTATTACCGATAACTGAACCAAAAAACCGAATGCTCACCCTTACCCATAGTGAGGGTTTGAATGATTAAAATTATGTTTTTATGAATATATCTATGTTTTTCGAGAATTAATAACTATCCTACTTTACATGTCACGAGCACATGTTAGTATGTATGATGAGTGAGAAAGTTAGTTACTGAGGTGTTTGTCTCATCCCGTGATTTCTACTATCTTCAGGTGATAGTTCAGGTGGTGATCCATCAGGGAAAGCTTTGGAGGCATAGTATGCTATTATAGCTTGGATAGCCTCTTTGCTTTTGTTTTATATGCTGATTTACTATATGTTGCCACCTGGGACTTATTTACTCTAATGTTGTAAACTAATACTTTTAATTACTACTATCTGATATGAGAAGCCGTTAGAAGGCTGGAGGTCTTTAAGACTTTGCGTGTTACGCTATTTTAAAAGTGTTGATTTTTGACTAATGGGCTCTATCGTTTATATTAAAATGATTTGTCAGTTAGTATGTTTGAAAATATGAGATTTGTATTGGGCTAATAGTTGAATGATATTTCTGAACTTTGAGAGTTCAAGGCTCAAGTTAATGATCAAAGTTACTCATGATATAAATTTATTTTTTTTAATCATGATAGTGATTTTAAAATTTTAAGGTTTCTTCTTTCCTATCATGGTTAATCCTTCGAATAAATTGTTCAATTTAATCTAAATGGGTTTCAAAATATCGGTTGTCACACCAAATACTTGTGTGGTGTGGGAGTAAAATCTCGTTTAGTAATATACTACGAACAAGAACTTATCTTTCTTATTTACATGCACCCAACCCAGCTATATCCAAAGGACGTCATGAGAAGGAAGAGATACGACAGTAATATGGAAATGGGAGAGGGGGGGAGTACCTGCAAAATGTCGAGGCCTCACCTGATTGAAATGCCAACGAGAAAGTCGAATGTTACGTCATATTGCAAGCGAAGAAAGGAGAGAAGAATCAGAGGACAACCCTTGGAGTATCATCGAACATCGCTGGCTGGGGGTTTAAGAAGCGCAGCTAGATCACAGATTGACACTCGGCGATGAAAATCATCAGGTACATAATCAAAAGCAAAACTTCCAATGTTGTCAAAATGGTTTTTAGATTTTAGGTGTCTTCTGTCTATTTGTTAGTGTCAACATACCAAGATTGCTCATCACCTTATAAGCTAATATGTTCCCAAGCAGGTGAGCCATGCTGATTACGCAAATTCTGTAGTATAAAATTGCCAACATTCCACAATTTGCTTGGAAAGGACTATTTGGAGGTTAACTGCTTAGTTGGCAAACTAAGGTCCTAAAAGAGAAAACGTGTCCCAAAGAAACATCCTCAAAAAAATATACCATAGTCGACAAAATGCTATGATAGAATAAAGCTAAACAAATATGCCCATCTGTTCTTAAAACCAGTGTGAACCGAAACCTCTGGTTTGTGAAGAGGACATACGACATTTCCCAATGTTTTTGACATTTCTCTCCCTTGAAAAATGTTAAGTATTATGCAGCCAGCCAATACACACATAAATTCAGAAAACAACAGTAAACCTTTTTTTTTTTTGACAATCACTAAAGGTAATGTAAACGATTAAGATACTAAGTAAATAATCAGAAAAAGAATTTCATTCAGAAACCATTACGATTTTTGCTGCAACCCACTACTAGAATATTGAACTTTTTAGGCCTAAGCCAAAGTCATGGTTGCATACTTGCATTAGATAGTCTCCACCACAATAAAAGCAACTGAGGGGAAAAAAACTACATTGTAATCAGACTGAAATAACCTGAACTTTAATATACACTTTTTAATGAATAGTACATAGTTAGTTTAGTTATACTCTTCCTTAGGACAAAGGTATGACCCAAACCAACATAATCCCTTCAATAAAATTACAGTAGTAAGATCCATATAAAGATTATTCATAGATCAACAATAAAAACATGAACAATTGGGAAGCAATAAAGTAAGAACCATGAGTGTTGGAAATTTAGCAAATAATTTACTCAAAATAAAAGCAAATAAAGTGCAGCCGCTAAAGTTCTCTTGACAGTAAAGGAGACAAAGTGAGTAGGGATGTCTCATAGTAAATGCATTTTATGAACCTTCCCAAATCTCTCTGGGATTTTGGTCATCTCTCTTTTAAACGGTTAGAAGAGCTTATCTAGCAAGGGGCTACCAATCTGGCACTGTCACTTGATCAAACAAACGGAGACGATCTCTCAAGGTAAGCGAGCATAAAAGAATAAGAAAATATAAACATCACCACAAGAAGATTATACTACAAATAAATAAACATCATATATAGAATATTCCAAAAAAGTCAAGATCAGGCACAAAGCAACTGAAGGATGCAAAAACAGATACCATCACATTCAAGAACATACAGTGCCAGCAGTCTCTACAACAGGAACGCTTTATTTTCCTTTCACATCTGCAACAAGACATTAGCATTGTATCCAGAATTGAGAACCACTACAGAGGAAGAAGCCTGCAAAAGGTGTTGCAAGATATAAAAATTAAAAAAAAAAGTAAACTAAATAAAATTACACAAATATTTAGAAAGTCCCACAGTTTTAGTGACGGAGCAGAGTTGCAATACCGGCATCAATCAATGCCAGGAAGCCAAAGTATTGGCGTTACCTTCGTGCGGTGATATCTAACCATAATAGCGTGGAGCCAAAGCATTATAAGAACAAAATCAGATATTTTACTACTGCAGCATTTTTAATAGAAAAAGCAAAAGCAAAAGCCACCAAACAGAACATGTTGATGAAGCTAAATGACTAGGAAGTCACGGTTCTGTGGTCAAGGTTTGGCATAAATTACTCTTGAGACTCCCCCCCTAGCAAACAATAATTTACAATTAAAGCATTACATAAATCACAGTATATAAATTGAAGACTAAATCAAAAGCGCTTGTAGATCCAGCCACACATCAATAGAATAAATCTAAACAAACGTGCCCACCTGCTCTCAAAACCAGTGTGAACCGAAATCCATGATTGTGTGCAGAGGATCTATTACATTTCCAACTGTTTCAGACATATTTCTCCCTTGAAAACATTATAAATATCATGCAATCAGTCTACACGCCGGAATTCACAAAACAATTGTAAGTCATGAGTGAGGTCCCAAAAGTGAAATTAGAACATCCTTACATCTTGAAAGAAGGATGGCAGGGAAAATCAGAGGGTCAAAAACCGTCTCAAAAATGAAATTTTGAATGAAGGCATTTAAATCAGCAGAATGGTTATCTTGAGAAATTATTAATATGCAAGTAGGAAAGCATTATTTTTGAATAAAATAAATGATCAATAGATCACTGCAAACAGTACGCCCATATTTTGCAAGCTTGGAAGCTAAATGATACATTACCTTATCAATGTCTTATTCTTATGTGTTTCCAGCTGCAGAGTCGTGCTTAAAGTTCCGCCTTGATCTGTTGCTTGCGATAACTGGGGCTAGTTAAAGGGGATTCTCAGCCAGCAATGTGCTTCAACGCAAAATAAGATACTGTTGTCAATTGGTTTTGAATCATCAATGAACTAGGCATGCTATGTTTACAATAGTTTGGTGTGCTTGACTCCAAAGAATGCTAAAAGTTTGAAATAAGTGTTTTTCTTCACCTTTGTCTCCCCATATAATAGGCCTTCTAGCTGCACGAGAGAGCTCTACCAATGACACATTCAGGTATATCCCAACAGCTAGTATTGAATGGGAAATGCAAAAACTTCAACACTAATATTTCTTCACTTCTTTTCCTTCTTTCCGAAAGGCATTCTATCCTTGGTTTACTTGGTGGCTGATTCCTATCATGCTAAACTTCATCAATATATTTAAAACACCAATAGAAACACGAGTGCATGTATAGACAAAAGCTCATAAACACGTGACCTGTTGCTAATGCATTAAGGACAGTTCATTTCAATTACAATGACAGCAAAAAACATGATTGATTAGCCGAGTTTTACCGATGTGCGCAAGCCCAAAAAACTCTCCTACCTTTGGATTCATTACGAGAGCTACATCACCAAATGAAGTCATTGGTCGTGTTGTAGCCACCGTCAAAAAATCACTCCTGGCGATTAGTTATCAAGATATCATTGCTCACAGCAACAGAATTTTTAAAGATGAATCGGCATAGAGAAAATAAAAGTTCATTTCAAAGCTTCACAATCATATCATCAAATCCAAATGACATGAGCATAATATAAATTTTGCATCCCCCGGGTGTAGTGATTGGGGTGAAAAAATCCAACATATTCGCTTTAAACAGGAAAAAAGCAAGAAAACAGATTTGAAATTCAAGACCATATCAAGTTAAAATTTTTTAACTATACTGCTTCCAGAAAATCACAACCATTGATTTAGTCTTCAATAATAGCTCCTCCATATTGTTCATTGATTTTATCAAAAAAGTCAAGGTCATACACCAAGAAACTGAGGGATGCAGAGAGAGATACCATCACATTCAAAAACAAGTAGCATATCTGCTGGGAGAGAAACCACCAGCAGTCTCCACAACGGAAACACTTTATTTTCCCTCCACATCTACAACAAGAAATTAGCATTATATCCAGCATTGAGAACTACTACAGACGAGAAATTCCATGCAAAGGGGCAGTCCAAAGTGTTGGCCTTCCCTTCATGTGGCGGTATCTAGCCATAATAGCCTGCAAGCGATAGTTTAGGAAAACCAAAAGCTAAAGCCACCAAATAGAACACATTGATAACTCTAAATAAACATTACTAGGAAGTCGCAGTTCCCCGGTCAACGTTTGGCCTAAATAACGCTTGAGACTCCCACCTACAATTAAAGCATTACATGAATAACAGTATATAAATTGAAGACTATATCAAAAACACTTCTAGATCCAGCCACACACCAATAAAAAACAGAACAAGGAAAAGCCACATTCCAGTATGCCCGTATGGCAAGATACAGAGGAGTCACCAACCCAAAAATTATATAATCGTGCACTTCCGTCTTCAGAACAGCCATTCAGTCTCAAAAAATTTTGCAATAATGTAGCTTGCGTGTTCAAAATAAATAAATGAAAACAAAAGAGTTCGCAAATAACAAAAATTTAGATGAATTTATTTGTTTCCCTCGATAATCCGTGCTTGCTAACAGCATAATTCCCACAAACTTCATAATACATGCTGCATAGCAGATCTCCATAGAATCTTAATCTTATATTTACCTTCAAACCCCCAACATTATCATCACCACAGTTGCTCCACTACACTCCCAGGAAAAACCAACCGCTCCTCATCAGGTTCATTTACGCGCCAATCAAATGTTTAATTGTTCCATTACCACAAGAGACGTATTGAGTGCCGAAGGACCTGCTTCACAAGAGAAGTATTTAATTTAATTTGAAACTAAATCCCAATGCAAAAACAAGAATATCAGCACAATCATTGACTCCATAAAGAAAATACTGTGTAAAACATCAAAAAAACAACAAATTACAGAAAGACAGGCTTTCAGTATTAATAGAAAGAATACCAATTATAGATACGCTTTTCTGCAGTAAAGTCGAATGTGAAGACGCCATGCTCTGATGCAGTAACTGAAATATAAGAACGGATGCAAGTCATTGCAAATGAATGAAATACTCCGGTTTCGCCAAAGCTAAAAGCTAGTATAGCCATTGACATTTTTAACTCCCAAAAAAAAAAAAGAAGTTCATGGAAAGAGTTTAGAATTTCCCTTTCCGGTGAGAATTAAACTATTCTTCCCGTCAAACAGGGAACTTAAAATTTTGGCCTAACCATTTGCTTAAAAAACAAAGAAGCCGCTCTAATGCCCAAGACAAGAAAAAGAACTAATGGAAAAAGAAAAAAGAAAAAGCTTTCAGCCAGTAACATTAAATAAAATTCGACGCGCGCCCGACAAGTTACCTAATAGACGACTAACAAACACTCAATCTGCACGAATAGCCAAATGGATACCGAAGAGAGTGACGGGAAAGCAAAAACAAAGTACCTGCAAAATGTCGAGGTCTCGCCCGATTGAAATGCCAACAAGAAAGTCAATGCACCGGCGTATTGCAAGCAGAGACAAGAGAATCAGAGGACGACCCTTGGAGTATCATCGGACATCGGCGAGGAAAATCTTCAGATGCATAATCAAAAACAAAACTTGTCAAAGATTTTTAGATCTTCAGTGTATCTTATGTCTCATAAAATGCATTTTTACAAACCTTCTCAAATCTTTCTGGGATTATGGCTACCTCTTTCTTTTGAATGGCTCCAAGAGCTTTTACAGCAAGGGGCTCCATACTACCAAACCACTTCTTAATAACAAGTGGCTCTGTTACTCAAATAAATGAAGGCGATCTCTCAAGATAAGCGAGCATAAAAAAAAACAAAAGGAAGTATGAACACCACCGCAAGAAGATTATAATACAAATAAATAATCCTGATCTGAGAAAATGGAAAGTACGTGGCTCCTTTTTCTCATCTAATCCTGTCCCTGCAAGCACAGCCCATACTTGTTGATCCCTGGCGCTCAATGGAGGTGGGGAAATCATCCATCGTCAACTATATATATGCACAGACACATATAATGCGTGGGTCTCAAGCAATCAATCAGAAGCCTTAATTGAACTACAGCTTAGAATCAATCAATCAAATCAATCATATGACGCTCAAATCACCGATTAGAAGCATTTATTGAACTACCGTTTAGAATAAATCAATCACTAATCAATCAGATCAATCAAGTAACGATCAAATTAGTAACGTTCAAATCAAAAGTATTGTTCAATGCAAGCTTTTTTTTCTTTTCTTATTAAACTCGTGGCTCTGTTATATTGGGGTTATTAATATATTAGAAGGAAAATTCCTCGGCAAAAAAAAATGTTAGAAGGAAAATTACTTTACAATATTTTTTAGGGACTAAATACACCTAAAATATATTTTAGGGTATTAAATGTATTTTTTAAGATGACAATGTACTTTTTTTTTTTAATAACAATATTGAATGTACCTTCCCTAGGTAAGATATAAAAATAAACTTGGAGAAAGTCTATGTTCACGCTGTTCTTTTTGAAAACACAATTTTTTGGGTTGACTATAGTAATGCTAATTTAATTACACATATATTATTTTCTTAGTATTGCATAAAGGAAAGAATTATAATGATGCTAGTTTTTTTTTTTGAAAAAAAAAAGGAATTCTCACAAAAAAGAAGGAGAAGAATTACAAAGTGTTTTTTTTTTTTTGTCGCAATTATCAAAATCAATTGACACAAAGGCTCCAAAAGAGGGACAAAAATCACAAAGCCACAAGGAAAAAATAAAATTGGAATGGAAATATTGTCTATTTATCAAAGGGTGTTCAAAAAATCTGTGTCGCGTGTAATTTAAAGGGTTTACTTTAACAAATGATTTCATGATTAATATCTATGCTAAGAAAATAGATTCAGTTAACGATTAAATTAAAACTATTACCTAATAAAAATTATACTACTTAATTAAATTATTAGAGTGCTGGAAAAAAATTAAGTTATTAGAGCGGTCTTATATGAAATAAATAAAAGTTCTAAAGTATGCTTTTATTATCATATGTTAAATTTATATTTATTAAGCATTTATTACGTTGGTTTGGGATTTATATTACTAAACCCAAACCAACATAGTCGCAATTTTGAAAAAAAACCAAATCATAATTTTAAAAAATGATTTTACGATATACGGAATAAGTATATAAAAAAATTATTTTGACTTACGATAAAAACATTTTTTAAAAGAAAAAATCACAAATAAAGACCCTAGAATATACAAAATTACGATTTGGGTCTTTGAATTTATATAATTCTTGTCAGAGACCAAGTCCCAAATGAAAATTATGAAATGTTAGTTAAAAGACAAAAGTACCCTTCTGCTTTTGTCCAATTCTGTGCCCACATGTCTCAACTTTATCTTTCTTTACTATCCGAGTTGTCTCCCTCTTCCTTTCTTACGATGACAGCGATGGATCTGGAAGAATGAGGAAGTAGATGTTGGTTTTTCTACTGGAAAAGGGCCTAGAAAGCTTGGGAGTGGGATGATAGAGTGAGGCAGAATCAACCCCATCTATGTCCCAAAGCTTCAAAATCTGAAAGAATGGAAGTGAAGAGTTCGATGAAATATGCGTGTGGAGATGATTGATTGGGTGGGGGCTGTGTCTTGGTAAAACGTGGGGGGCTAATGGATTGCCGTTACCAGTACTGTTAAACATAACTGGGATCATTGGGTGTCTTCTTTGTAGTGGCAAGAGTATATCCCATTATTCTTAATTCATTTTTTTCCCTTTCTCAGACCCAAATATTACTAAAAAGAAAGTATCTTCATACTTTATCTATTTTTTTTTGCAATGAGATGTTTTGATTGAAGTAAAAAGAGCTTGGAGCTTTTGTTCGTAGACAAATATTGAATCTTGCAGAAACTGGTTGCTGTCAAAAACACCTTTGGTTTTTTGTTATCTAACTTACCATTGTTGTAATTTTACTTAGTAGTGTTGTAACTACAGCTTGGTTAGTTTGATCACAGCAACATGGCATGACAATATGAAAATGTTGGTATTTTGTTTATGGGCAAAGCAATGTTAATGTTTAGTATTTATAGTTGTAAATGGTACCAATGCAAATCCATTTAATGTTCTGAAATTCATGACAAACCCCCTCACAGACTTATAATTTCACTTACCACAGTTGTTATTTGGCTTTCTATTCTTGTCAACTGATTTTCATAACTTGTTATTCGCTTTACTCAACTTGTCATAAATTACTTATCAGAACTTGTCATCTGCTAAAGAAATTTGAAAATTCTGTCATTTGAAAAGAGAAAATTAAATTTTTATGAATTGCTTATTAGAAGTTGTCATTCGTCTTACTAAATTTGTCATTCGTCTTACTAAACTTGTCATTCGCCAAGAATGTTTAGCAACGTGTATGATAACTTCTAATAAGCAATTCATAGGAATTTAAGATTCTGCGTTAAAATGACAATCTGCACAATTCCTTGGCGAATGACAATTTTAGTTTTATTTAGCAGATAAGAAGTTCTGATAAGCAATTTATGACAAGTTTAGTTAGGCAAATAACAATTTTACTAACACAAATGACAACTTCTGATAAGCATTTCATACAAATTTAATTTTCTCTGTTCCAATGACAGAATTTCCAGATTTCTTTAGTAGATGACAGGTTCAGTAAGGCAAATGATAGAATTTTTGTGTTTCTATCACTGCATTTCTGTCACCACGTTTCTAATTAAATGGGCAATATTAAATAGCTCTATATTATTACAATATAGAACTGATTTACAAAAAATGTTAACATTCCTCTGCATAATATAAAAAGACCATCATTATCAGATTGTCATGTGTTTCTATCACTGCATTATTGTCATAATAGTTAAAAGTCTGCATTAACAACACTAGGAAGCGAAATTACAACAATGGTGATCTACACTCCCTCTAATATATTTAATTTCCCCTTCATCACTTGCTTCAAAATGTCCACCAACATGAACGTAACGTAACAAATTCTGTGTTTCTATCACTGCATTTCTATCATCACAAGATGATTTTTTTTACTTTACAAAATCACAACTTAAGTATAATATATGACAAGTTAAGTATATCAAATTATAACTTTGTTTATTTCCAAATTTCTTTGGTGAATGACAAGTTGAGTAATACAAATGACAAGTTTAGTAAGGTGAATGACAACTTCTAATAAGCAATTCATAAAAATTTAATTTTCTCTTTTCAAATGATAGAATTTTCAGATTTCTTTAGCAGATAACAAGTTCTGATAAGTAATTTATGACAAGTTAAGTAAGGCGAATGACAAGTTATGAAAATCAATTGACAAAAGTGAAAAGCCAAATAACAGTTATGGTAAGTGAAATTATAAATCTGTGAGAGGGTTTGTCATGAATTTCAGAACATTGAATGGATTTACACTGATATTATTTACAACTATAAATACTAAATGTTAACATTGCTCTACCATAAACAAAATACCAACATTTTCATATTGTCATGCCATACTGCTATGATCAAACTAACCAATCTGTAGTTACAACACTACTAAGTAAAATTACAACAATAGTAAGTCAAATAACAAAAAACCAGAGGTGTTTTGACAGCAACTAGTTTCTGAATCTTACAAAAACTGGTGTATGAAAACTTCTGATAAGTAACTCATAAGAACAATTTGTACAATTCCTTGGTGAATGACAATTTTAGTTTTATTTAACAGATGACAAGTTTTGATAAGCAATTTATGACAAGTTCAGTAAGATGAATGACAAGTTTAGTAAAACGAATGTCAACTTCTGATAAGCAATTCATAAAATTTTAATTTTCTGTTTTCAAATGACAGAATTTTCAGATTTCTTTAGAAGATAACAAGTTCTGATAAGTAATTTATGACAAGTTGAGTAACGCGAATGACAAGTTAAGAAAATCAATTGATAATAGCGGAAAGCCAAATAACAGCTATGGTATGTGAAATTATAAGTCTGTGAGGAGATTTGTCATGAATTCAGAATATTAAATAGATCTACATTGATGCCATTAACAATTATAAATGCTAAATGTTAACATTGCTCTGCCCATAAACAAAATACTAACATTTTTAGATTGTCATGTCATGTTGCTGTGATCAAACTAACCAATCTATAGTTATAACACTACTAAGTAAAATTACAACAATAATAAGTCAAATAACAAAAAAACCAGAGGTGTTTTGACAGCAACCAGTTTCTGTAAGATTTAGTGACAAATGTATCTCAAACTAACCACAACATCCTCCAGCTAATATTTTTCATCATTAACTTCACGTTTCATTCTCTTTCACCGTATAACCCAGTGACCACACTGCAACCCACCAAGATGATGCCATACCAATCATGAAATATATATACATGTAGTGTCTTCGGTAGCTTGAATCTCATCCCCTCCAACATTGATTATGTATACCATCTCTAGAACATTATTGTTATCAACTTGAATCTGATTAATTCTGCCAACTAGCATTAACGATGGGTCACCATCTTTTTTGTAATAGAGATTGATGGAAATGGCGACAACCTTAATCATATTGATAAATACATAGGCAGAAGATGAATATTTTTGAGAGGGAGAAGAATAGAAGGAAGAAGAGGGAGAGGGAGATGAAGAGGGAGAGAAGGACGAAGACGGAGAGAAAGAGAAGAAGGAAAGAGAAAGAGATGGGATGATGGAAGAAAGAGAAGAAGGGCATTTCTGTCTTTTTAGCCTGCTTTCATAATTACAATTTCAGACCGGGTTCTTTTTGGTAATTTAACTTATTCAGGTGACCTCCTTGTAATTTTGATAATTTAAGAGTCTTCATTTGTCATTTTCCCTTTTTAAAAGTACTTTTTGTGATTACCAAATATGAGAGTATTTAAATAGAACTCAAAGTCTCAAACCATGATTTTAAAAGTAATTTTATGGTATACAAATTAAATATGGGAAAAAATTTGTCTTGATTTATGAAAAAGTGTTTTTTAATTAAAAGCACTTTTCACCAATGCCAAACACCCCATTAATGTTAAATGTAAGATCTCATTTTGTTTTGTTTCTTATATTTAAGTGTACCAAACAAGTTTCAACCTAATTTAAGCGCCATGTTAATGGCTATTATATGTCTCTCTAAAACAAGCAGGTATGCTGCGTAACGTTAGCCAAATACTTGCGTGGTGTGGGAGTAAAATCTTGTTTAGTAACACACTATGAACAATAACTTATCTTTCTTATTTACATGCACCCAACCTAGTTATATCCAAAGGACGTCACGAGGAGGAAGAGATATGGCAGTAATATAGAAATGGAAAGGAAAAAAAAAGGTACCTGCAAAAAGTCGAGGCCTCACCCCGATTGAAAAGCCAACGAGAAAGTCGAATGTTACGTCATGTTGCAAGCGAAGAAAGGAGAGAAGAATCGGAGGACGACCCTTGGAGTATCATCAAACATCGCTGGCTGGGGGTTTAAGAAGCGCAGCTAGATCACACATTGACATTCGGCGATGAAAATCATCGGGTACATAATCAAAAACAAAACTTCCAACGTTGTCAAAAGGCTTTGACATTTTTGGTGTGTCTTACGTCTATTTGTTAGTGTCAACATGCTAAGATTGCTCATCACCTTATAAGCTAATATGTTTCCAAGCAGGTGAGCCATGCTGATTACGCAAATTCTGTAATATAAAATTGCCAACATTCCACAATTTGCTTGAGAAGGCCTATTTGGAGGTTAACTGCTTAGTTGGCAAACTAAGGTCCTGAGAAAAAACGTGTCCCACTGTTCAGAAAAGTACTTTTGATAAGCAAAGAAACATCCTCAAAAAAATATACCATAATCAACAAAATGCTATGATAGAATGAAGCTAAACAAACGTGCCTATCTGTTCCTAAAGCCAGTCTGAACCGACCTCTGGTTGTGTGAAGAGGACATACGACATTTCCCAATGTTTTAGACATTTCTCTCCCTTTAAAAATGTTAAGTATTATGCAGCCAATCAATACACATACATAAATTCAGAAAACACAGTAAACTTCTTTTTTTTAAAAAAAAAATCAATCACTAGAGGTAATGTAAACGATTAAGATACAGAAAACAACTGCATTTGAAGCATTATTTTTACAGCATATCATATCGATGATATCTTCAGAAATTATTAATATGAAAATAAAAGACTCAAGAATCCAACTCCAATCATTTCTAAGTAAATAATCAGAAAAAGAATTTCATTCAGAAACCATTTCGACTTTTGCTGCAACCCACCGCTATAAGCCTACTATCACCACTTCCCATCATTGTTGACCAACAATACCCAGAAACCACCATAGATTGAAATCGGGCCATGAAAAATCTTGAATTTTTTAGGCCTAAGCCGAGGGCATGGTTGCATACTTGCATTAGATAGTCTCCCCCACAACAAAAGCAATTCAGGGGAAAAAAACTACATTGTAATCAGACTGAAATAACCTGAGCTTTAATATACATTTTTTAATGAATAGTACATAGTTATACTGTTCCTTAGGACAAGTGTATGACCCAATCCAACATAATCCCTTCAATAAAATTACAGTAGTAAGATCCACATAAAGATTATTCACAGATCAACAATAAAAACATATACAAATGCAAAGCAATAAAGTAAGAACCATGAGAGTTGGAAATTTAGCAAATAATTTCTTTAAAAAAAAAAAGCAAATAAAGTGCAGCCGCCAAAGTTCTCAACAGTTAAAAGAGACAAAGTGAGTAGGGATGGCTTATAGTAAATGCATTGTTTAGACCCTTCCCAAATCTCTCTAGGATTTTTGTCATCTCTCTCTTTTGAACAGCTAGAAGAGCTTATCCGGTGAGGAGCTTCTGATCTGTCACTGTCAATTGATTAAACAAACGGAGACGATCTCTCAAGGTAAGCAAGCATAAAAGAATAAGAAAATACAAACATCACCACAAGAAGATTATAACAAATAAATAAACATCATAGAATATTTTTTCAAAAAAGTCAAGGTCATACACAAAGCAACTGAAGAATGCAAAAACAGATACCATCACATTCAAGAACATATGGTACCAGCAGTCTCTATAACAAGAACGCTTTATTTTCCTTTCACATTTGCAACAAGACATTAGTATTGTATCCAGAATTGAGTACCACTACAGAGGAAAAAATACCTACAAAAAGGTGTTGCAAGATATTAGAATAAAAAAAAAAAGTGAACAAAATAACAAATATTTAGAAAGTCCCACAGTTTTAGTGACAAAGCAGAGTTGCAAAACCAGCATCAATCAATGCCAGGAAGCCAAAGTATTGGCCTTACCTTCATGCGGTGATAGCTAACCATAATAGCGTGGAAGCCAAAGCATTGTAAGAACAAAATCATATATTTCACTACTGCAGCATTTTAATAGAAAAAGCAAAAGCAAAAGCCACAAAACAGAACATGTTGCTGACAATAATGACTAGGAAGTCACGGTTCTCTGATCAAGGTTTGGCATGAATTACTCTTGAGGCTCACCCTAGCAAACAATAATTTACAATTAAAGCATTATGTACATAGATAACAGTATATAAATTGAAGACTATATCAAAAGCACTTGTAGATCCAGCCACACACCAATAGAATAAAATCAATCTCTGCTTGTGTTTTAAAGAAGGTGCTAGCCGGGGGTACGTTAGTGGTTTCCTTTTGACCAAGAAGAGTCTAACATCTGGATTATACAACCAATACTTTTAAGGGAAAATTGCAATTAGGTCCCACCCAAAAGAATTAAATACAAAAAAATGTCTTGAAATCATGAAATTATTCTGAAGTCATAAAGGACTTTATTGCAATAAATTTTATTTGTTTAATTACTAAATCACCCTTCTTCTTTTTCTTAAGTTTGCATTGACAATTGAAAGAGCAGTGGTTAACAATTTAAAGTGCTAGGATTGACAACTATCGTGGCAGGTATTAACAACTCATGCATTACATTTTGTGATGTGCTGAGAAAATGTGTTGTCAATACCTGTCACGATAGTTGTCAATCCTTGCACCTTAAGTTGTCAACCACTGTTCTTTCAGTTGTCAATGTAAACTTAAAAAAAATAATAAGAGTAATTTGGTAATTAAACCTATAAAATTTATGACAAAAAAATCTCTTAGGACTTTAGAATAATTTCATAATTTCAAGAGACCTTTTTGTATTTAATTCCCTTGGGTGGGACCTAATTGCAATTTTCCCTACTTTTAAGGAGATCACAAATATGCAAACTTCTATTGGAAAGTGAAGTATAACAGTTTCAGGAAAAATCATTTTTTAGATTTTTCTAAGGTCAACTTAATTACTACTTGTAGGTCGTAGCCTAGTCATTCCATTAGTGAAGAGACCATCCATAAGCACCGAACACCTTAAGTCTTTTAGAAAAGCTAAAGACGGAACTCAACTCATAAAAGCAATTGTGATAGTTAAACCAAAGCATGTTTCTGTCAAAGTTAGAACAATACTAAGGATCCTTAAGCTATCCAAACAATATACAATTCAATAACACAGGCAACATTAATAGTAACTGCAAAGAGATACAAGACCTTTATCCCCGACAGTGAATTGCACGACCACATTCATTGTGGTAGCTCCACCACGGACATCACATGATGGACTCAGGCATTCCCTGTTTTCCAGTATTTTTCTGGCACTAATTAACTTCACAACTTTTACAGCCCTTGGACCATTCTCTGTCTTCAAAACAAAGACATATTTATGGTAGGTTAACTTGATCCTAAATGTAAGATCATATTCATTATTTTGTTCTCAATCTACTAATCAAGAGACACAAACAAGTATGTTCTAGCCACAGAGTAAAACATTCAAACAAGAAGAGAAATTAAATCACGAGGATGCATTGTTGGAATTAGCTTCCTCTTGTAGTTGCAACACACGTTCAAGTTGAACTTCAACTTCTCCCATATGTGGCCTCTCATTGGGATCTTCACTCAAGCAGCTCTCTGTGATGTCCATATACAATTTCCAACACTCTTCTCCTATTTCTCCCTCCAAACTCTCATCAATAATTCCCTCAGCATTTCCTGTGCCTGCCAAATCACGTACTTCCTCAACTACACTGAGTGTAAATGGAATAACATTTGCAGCCTCAATATGACGCCCCTTATGCTGACTAATTTGGTACAAAGTCTTTCCGCAGATGAGTTCTAACAAAACTACTCCAAAAGAATAGACATCACATTTGTAGGTGACCTTAGGGGCCCTAAAGCACTCAGGAGCTATGTATCCCCAAGGGCCTTCAACGTATTCCAACTGTATGGGTTTCATATCCTTGGCTGAAAACTTTGGTCCTTTTAAAGAACGCCCAAAAAAATTGAGTCTGGGAACCCAATTCTCCCCTAGGAGAATGGTCGACGGTGCAATATTGCCATGGATGATGGTGTGTTTGGTTCCCGAGTGAAGGTAGTGTAAGCCACGTGCCAGTCCTATACTGATTTCCAGCCTCTTCTTCCATGGTCGTATTGGAGACTTGCTCTCTGTTCCATAAAGTTGCTGGAGAGATCCGTTTGGGGCGTACTCGTAGACCACAATCATTTCATTTTGATCATCGCAGAATCCAACCAGAGAAACCAGATTCGGGTGGTTTAGTTGGCACATAAATATGATATCGTTCTTATACAGTGAGAAGCCGTTTGAGGAAATCGCTGCTTCTCGTCGGAGCCGCTTCACTGTAATATCTTTGAGTTGGCCATTAATGGAGATGCAAGCCCTGTACACCACACCATAGGGCCCTTCACCGATCTTCCGGCTTTCGTCGAAGTCGTCGGTGGCTTTTCGAAGTTGGGAAAGAGGAAAGCGATGGCATAGATATTCTATTGTTGTGGAAGGTTGTTTCCGAGAAGTGGAACCACAGCCTCCAAAGCACTTGTGAAGGATTGCCATTGCAAGTAACGAGGACTCACGGTTGCGTTTGAAGCAATATACTAGCTCTTCGTAATGGGCAAGCCGCGGCCATTTTTATGTGACATATTCGGCAAACATCGTTGAACTTGGATTTTCGGTTTTTCACTCACACCTTCCACATGCCCACTCTGAAGTTTTGTCCCTGAAAGAGGGAGCATGAGGCCACAGGGACCATTAATTGTCTTCGAGTGTGTTTAGATGAAACCAAACCGTGATTTAGAAAAGTGATTCTGGAAAATAGATTCTGGAGAGAATAGATTCTGTGAAGAATAGATTTTGTAAAAAAGTGATTCTGAGAAGTGAGAGTGTTTGGATAGTTGTTATCAAAAGCACTTTTTATATGTACAAATTACTAAAAAAAAGACATAAGTTAATATGATAATTACAGAAAAAATAGATTTTATGATATATTTTAATTTGAAGGAATAAAATTATTAATAATATATTGTTTACCAACATAATTAATAATACATAAGATAATATAATTAATAAATAATTAATATGTATATATATTTATAAAATATAAGATTAAATATGTTTATAAAAAATATGTTTATAAAAAAAAATAACAAGATACATATCCTATAAACTCTCACACTCTCCCTTTTTTCTTCAAAAGCAAAATTTTTTTGTTTTTTCTAAAATCATAGTTTTGGTCCAAAACCATGATTTTGGTTTTTGGGTGGATGTTTGGGTGATTTATTCCCCAAACCATGGTTTGGGGTGTCACCCAAACACACCCGAAGTCTTCTTTGATTAGAATACATTCTATGCAAGGCTGGAGACCATCAGTTCCATGTCCTCATTGGTCAATTTAGGCGGCGCCGGCGTGATGATAATTTGGGATTTGGATCTTCTTCCTGTAATTAACAGGAAATTACTAATTAAGGTCACATGACATAGGAGGACTCCGATTTCACATGGCCCGAGTCACTTGCCTAGAAAATATAGACATGTTCTGATTGGGTCTTCCGGTTAATTGATGCCCCATAGGCCATAAATTATTCAAGCTGATAATAGAATCTTTATAAAATTTGACGTTGAGTCTGGATCTGATATTTTCACTTCTAAAGCCTAAGATTCTCTGTCACCAAAAAAAAAAAGCCTAAGATTCTCTGCATTTAGATCTAAATTAGTTTATTATGATTTGCGCGGCTATGGTTACTATGGGTTAGAAGGTTATGACAATGTTTGACAATTTATAGTCAAGGAGACCAAAAGGTGTAAAGAAATTGAATGAATTAATGCAAAACTTACATGCATATCCAGGAAAAAAAGAAACATGATTTGTTTGTCTTTCGTGTCAAAACTTTTGGTATTTGTTTTGTTTATTGGATAAGTTATTCTTTTTGTGATCTATTAGCAGCTATTTACAGTGGTAAGTTCTTTTGCACACAGTTCTTTAAAAGCAGAGACTTAGTTACGAGATAAACTTCTTCAGATGATAGTATTAGATAGCTAAAAGACTCCTAGACAATTGTAAAATCCTAACTGTGTGATCCATAAAACCTAAATAATCTATACATTTCCCAACCATGACACATCTAATTCTATTGCATTTCCTTTGGGAAGCCAAACAACTAAAAAAACAAAAAAGGTTCAAGTCCTGGTAACATTATATGGGTATAAATCATGATTTGGGATTAAGGCTTACATGTTGTAAGGACCAATAATAATATTAATCCTAAATATATTATTTTATCAAACAAGCATGTTACAAAATTCATAACTTAAACAAAATAATGACAGAACAGTCTATATGAAAGTACATTTTTTCCCGTCCCCTTTCACCTCGTTGACATGAACGAGTTAATATTAGATCTCTTTCTTTCACTACTATAAAAAAGAGTTTTCACGACGCTAATTTATAACGGGTATTAGAAAAAACATTATAAAAAATATGACGGTAGCATTTCTGTAATTATAGGCATACTTTTAACGACGGTTTTTTAAATAACCGCCATGAAAAAATACTTTTAACGGCAGTTTTTTAAATAACCGCCGTAAAAAGTCTATCAGAATTTCAAAATCTATCACGTGATAGTTTTCACTTGTCAGAGTTAGAGCTCATAGTCCCCCATACCATCCTCACTCGATTTTCTCCCTCCTCCTATATTTGTCGGCATTTATCCATTGCTTCTATCATTTCTGCCATGTTCTTCCATCACCGTCGCTGTTGTTGTTGTCGTTACCATCGCCTCATTCTCTTCATTCTTTTTTGTGAGTTTTTCACCTCCATTCTTTTCGTGGATTTCATAGTTCTTGTGCTTTGATATGATTATTTTCTTTGGTTAAAAACATGATGTTAATCTAAGTTTAAAGAGATCTAATTTTTAGCAGATCTGAGTCTTTGATTTTATCTTTATTAAATATTATTGGCTTCGATCTGGTGGCTAAAGGTGAAGCTAAGCGACATTATTACGGCGAGAAAGAATCTATGTTTATTCCATCAGAATGTTTTTAACTGGTGAGAGACTTCTTTTGAAGCTTTGTTCTCCCGTTCCATCCTGATCGGTAGGGTAAAACATAGCCTAAAAAAACAAAAAATTTTCACGGCGGTTATTTATATAACCGCTATAAAAAGTCACATACCATAGCGGTTCTTAAATTGTCATAAAATCCTCTACATTTTACGTCGATGGCATAGACGTCAGTATCAAAACTGCCGTAAAAAGCTCATTGTAGTAGTGTTTGAACCAAACGGAGACCCAAAACAAGTATGGCATTAAAGATTAAATAATTAAGGAAGTGTGGTTATAGAATCTGCTTCCTCCAGCAGTTGCAATAGATGTTCAAGCTGCACTTCAACATCTCCCATATCAGGCCTCTCATTGGGATCTTCTCTCAAGCAGCTCTCTGTAATGTCCACATACAATTTCCAGCACTCTCCTCCTATTTCTCCCACCAAACCCTCATCAATAATTCCCTCAACTCTTCCTGTTTCTACCAAATCACGTACTTCCTTAACTACACTGAATGCAAATGGGAAAACATTTGCATTCTCATCAATATGATGCCCCTTATGCTGAGCCATTTGGGATAAAGTCTTTCCGCAAATGAGTTCTAACAAAACTATCCCAAAAGAATAGACATCACATTTATAGGAGACATTAGTGCCACTAAAGCACTCGGGAGCCATGTATCCCATAGGGCCTTCAAAGTATTCCAACCGTATTGGTTTGGCTTCCTTTTCAGAAAATTTCGGTCCTTTTACAGAGAACCCCAAAAATGTGAGTTTGGGAACCCAATTCTCGTCCAAACGAATGGCAGCCGATTTTATATTACGATGAAGGATGGTGCGCTTGGTTCCTGAGTGAAGGTAGTGTAATCCACGCGCCACCCCTATACTGATCTCTCTAGCCTTTTCTTCCACGGTTGAATTGGCGACTTGCTCTCTATTCTATGAAGTTGATGATAGAGTGATCCATTTGGGGCGTAGTCGTAGACCAAAATCATTTCATTTTCATCATCGCAAAATCCAACCTGTGACAACAGATTCGGGTGGCGTAGCTGGCACGTAAATATGATATCTTTCTCACACAGTGAGAGCCCCTCTGCTGAAATCGCTGCTTGGAGTCGCAGCTGCTTCACTGCAGTATCTTTCAGTTCGCCATTGATGGAGATGCAGGCTCTGTACGCTACACCGTAGGGCCCTTCACCGATCTTCCGGCTCTCGTCAAAGTCGTCGGTGGCTTTCCGAAGTTGCGCGAGAGAAAAGCGATGGCACAAATATTCTATTGACGCGGAAGGTTGTTTTCGAGAAGCCGAACCACAGCCTCCAAAGCACTTGTGAAGGATCCCCATTCCCAGCAACACAACTGCGTTTGCCCTTTTTGATCTGACAAATTTGTCAACGCCCTAGCCTTGCGAGAACTCTCATTTTGACATATATTACGATACTTATATTAAGAACTTATTAATTAATCTGAGTAAATTAAAAAAATATATATAGTTAAGTTTTTATATTTTTAAGCTTCTTTCCTTGTCTTCTCCCTTCACCTACCGCTATTTCTAGTAAATCACGGTTGCCCATTCTGCGGATGCATGAGATCTTAACATGGAAAGTTGACTTCATTGTTTTTTGCAGTTTTCGTGCTATTTCTAAATTTCTATCATAAACAACATTTATTACTTTCTTAAATCCTTTTTTGGCCGAAATGATACTTTCCTGAATGTAATTATTAAGAGTCCTTAGTTATATTTTATGTTCAACTGTCGGTGTTCAATCGGTCACCGCCAAGAAGAAAATGTGAATCACATGCGTTGAGGAGTTTGTATGCGAACCATCCGAAGCAATGATCTCTTCCTGTATCTGTTTTTATCTTATGAATGGTGTTAAACAACCACCATATGGTGACTATTTTGAAAAGAAATAAATAAATAAAAGATAAAATAAACCAGGATTTTATATTTATAATCAAATTAAATTTCTAACTAAAAAATACTCCTTTCAATCCTAAATAGAAGACATATTTTGTAGTGTAAATACCACAAAATGGTCTTACATCTAGACCTAGAGAAATACTTCATAATTTACCTAACAATCATATTTCTGTACCTTGTGAACTACATTGACTATGATTGTGTCTCGAGTTCAAATATTTGTTATTTTAAAATCAATTATGTCCTAAAATCACTAGGAAACAAGGTCATGGTTGTATGTTTATTCCCTTTAAGCATAAGAAGAATTTTTTTTTTTTATAATATATAATCAGGTACATGAAGGCAACATATAGAGTTGATTTCATTTCAACAAACAATTATACCAACCCAACAATGAAACACCACCAAGAAAGCCACCACCTATGAAAATTGTGTACAGAATTTACTGTTTCAGAGAAACCATCACAATATAACTGGCATCACAATCTTCACCAGGCCAATTTCTCTTTACCTGTTGTGAAAACCAGACGATCAAATAAGAGTTGTGTCATGAGGAAGTCTTTGGCAGTCAAAAATCATGTTAAACGGAATGCGAGGGTAACACTTGATCACCTAGGAAAGACATCTTTGATCCCTTCAGCTGAGAGTGCTATAATATTACACAAACACACTTGTTCTGCTTCGGTTCGCTTCTTGCTTTCTTCTCTGTTTTAGACGAGAAAGACCAAGAATATCAATCATAAAATTAAATTTAAAAAAAAAGAAAAACTAAAACAGAACAAGCTCAAAGTATTGGAAAAGAACTAAAACAATCTTGTGTCTTTTATGTAAGTAGATGAATTAGATCTGTTAGAGACAAGTATAGGAGAGTAAATTTGATCAGTTCGGTATCCTCTTGAAAGTGAATGTCAAGTGATGTGCAGAATTAGAAATGTCAATGGATAATTGAGGGAAGGGTTCCCCAATGGAATCAAGTTATGAGAGACTTGAACAACCAATTCAACCTTTTTGCTTTGTTCCATGTCTCGGAGAAAAGGACGCAGAAAAGTCCATATGGATAAGATAAAAGCAAAGCAAACAAAAGCCAACAAAATCGATCTCTATTCGTGGTTTAAGGAAGGTGTTTGCTGTCGCTTATGGTCACCTTTTGACCAAGAAAAGTCTGACAACTGGATTACACAGCCAATTCTTTTAGGAGATCACAAATATGCAGTTTTCTTTTGGAAAGTGACGTATACCAGATTTTTCTAAAGACAATTTAATTACTACTTGCAGGCTGTAGCCTAGTCTTTCCACCAGTGAAGAGACCGTCCATAAGCACAAAACACCTCAAATCTTTTAAAAGAGCCAGACATGGGACTCAAATCATAAAAACAATTGTGATCATTAAACCTCTGTCGAAGTTAAATAGAACAACACTAAGAATCCTTAAGCTATCCAAACAATATACAGTTCAATAACACAGACAACTATCAATAGTGGCTCTTAATGTGACTGCAAAGAGAAACCAGACCTTTATCCCCAGCAGGGGGTTGCACGACCACATGCATTGTTGTAACTCCACCAGGGATATCACATAACGGACTCTGGCACTCCCCCACCGTTCTGCTGTTTTCCAGTATTTTTCCGGCACTAATTAACTTCACATCTTTTACAGTCCTTGGACCATTCTCCTTGTCTTCAAAACAAAAACAGATTTATGGTTCTAATAGATCACTAAAAACCATGATAAAATGTTAATAACGATGCCTCTTGATAAACTAAATCAACAAGAAAAGCATCTAAAAGCACAATTGTAATAAGTTATCATATCATCTAGACGTGCTTTCATTGACTATTGCATACGTGACTTTGCAGAACATGGGATCTCTGGCACATATTATATATACCAGCAAATTGCAATGATGTTGATGACCGCTAAGCCTGGTTCTTGGTAAAAGATTTTTCTTTAGGGGTCTGCCATGTGTGTTTAACCATAGCAAATGACTTCCCGTACAATTTAAGCACCATATCATGGATACTCCTCCTGAGATAAGAAGCTATATTGCCATCTTGACCAGTGACTTCATTACTTGTAATTAATAAAAATCTATGAAAACGAAATATCAAAGCTTCTTCTTTAGACAGAACCATACACGACCACTTCAGAAGGAAAAGATACGCAGTACCGGAATGAATGAGAGGTAAAAGATTAAAAAAAAAAAAAAAACTAATTATGTGATATAAACAAGTATTTTCCATCTTTCTCATTTCATGCCATAGAAATCCCATCATCACAGGTTATTGACAAAATTTATGAACTCCTAAATGCTGCTGTTATTGACACAGGCATTTTTCTTGCCCAGGCAAAGGCTCCAAAGTTTCAAAAATCTACTCATCTAGAAGCAGAACCTGGGTTGTCTTAGAGATACAGCACAAAGTTCATTCCCCTTTCTCAACATAAACAAGCTTTAGCATGATTGTCTGTCTCAACATAAATCACTCAAGAATTAATTATTTTAACGTCATCACTTCACCGATGGCCGCATCTTCGGCAATCTGTTGAAAACATAAGTGACATTTGTAAACCCCGATCAAGAGAAACCAATATTTCTCCGTCTTCCTCAATAGTTCTCTTCCATAAACCAACACATCCAAGCACTGACATCCATTTAGTTTTACTTTGCAACGTGAATTACCCGATAGAGCAGCTAGTAAACAGGAAGTACAGAACATCCTCTTACCCAGAAATTCAAAGGAAGATGAGAAGGAATTAAAGGATATAGCAAAAACGGGAGGGAGGGGGAGAGAGAGCTGACCATTTGGCCACTGAGCAAGAATACTCTCCTTCAAGGTAGCAATACTTGTAGCAGCAGGAAAACTCTTGGGGCCAATATCAGAACCATCGGTCAGCCGAAACTTGATCTCTAATTGATCTTGCCTCCTCGCCATGCTCACAGAAATGGAAAGCAATCTTGAAATCCAACAATCCAGTAAATCACTTCGACTGATTATCACGAACAGAAAGGATTCATCAAAATCTCCCTCCAATGTTCTGTAATTTTATATCAAGAACAAAAAAAAGAAATTGAGCCAGCCACATCTAAATCCCAGCAGACAACTCGCACCATACAATATGGACACCGGGAAATTGGGGGAAGTTTGAATAGTATTAAAACTGTTATGGTCAGAAGTTCTAGAAACGAGTAATTGAAATCCAGCATGTAATCCTTTAATGAAAAACTTTTACGACGAAAATTCAACTCACTCACACCGACACAGAGCAATCGCTAACAGCTATAATTAAGCAAGCAAATCGCGATCCAGTCTCCGCGTGATCATCATTGAATCGGGAAATCTTCACGAGTTGGGAAAAGGGAATTAGAAGAAAACCAAAAGAAAAAAGAAAACCCAAACAAAGGAATAGAAATCTGGACGGATATTTCGAACGCTTTGGCTATATCATCACTGATCTGGGTGGTGGTTGTGTGCAAGTGACACAGTCTTAACTCGGCAGGAATCCACGTGGAAGACGAAGTGGATGCGTTTCTTTAAAAAGAGAATATTAAAATCGGAGGAAACGATCAAATGGTGGTACCAAGAGACGAGGCTGTTTCGGAGTTTTCAAAGTCCTCAAAATCTGTGGTCAATCAATTGGCAGTCTTCTCCTTCCCTTTGCCTTTGGCTTTGCCTTGCCTTCTTCAAAGATCGAACTTTTTCGCCAATCACGATCTCACTGTTCGCAAAAACGCAATCTTCAATCAGACTGCTTTTCCATACGTTGCTGACACATTCTTTACTTGCACATTTAGCATCGTCCCCTTGCTATGATTGGCATGCTCTCCAAATATGACTAGTTGGTACAAGTCGCCCCCAACATCTACTTGCTCCCGTAGACATTGTCTGTAAACTATAAATAACATCTTCATAGTATATTTTTTTTCATTTTTCTTAAAATATTACAATAATTTATTCCTTTTAATTTTTTCTTTTTTTTTAATTAATCAAATCATCAACATATTAGTACATCCATAGGGATTTTTTTTTTTTTTGCAAACCATAGAGAATATACTCCTATGATCATATTTATGAGGCAAAGAGAGAGTTTTTTTATCCAATTTATAAGTCACTTCATTAAAGTTTTCCTTTATTTATTGTGGTGTAAATTGTTATTTTTTTAAAAGGTGTATATATTAAATAAGAGTAAAATTAAAAAGTTATTATATTTTAATGAAGAGTTAATGTAATTTAAAGTTTTTCTTGGTCCTTGTAAAATATATTGGAAGTGTTTTATAAACAAGACCAAAGGAGTAATTCACAACTTCAAGTTTAAAACTCAAGAAAGCTTCCTCATCTTCATGAGAGGACAAGTTGAAATCCTGAAAAATATACTTATTGAGGGAGGCAAAAACTTCTACGGTGCCTAAAAAATACCCTTAATCGAATAAAAAAAACACTCCAAAAAGTGTTTATTGTGATTCACGTAGCAAGCGCTGGCTTTTAAATATATAATCTAGATATTTATTATATTTTTATATAAATTTTATACAAATTTATATCGTTAGTAAATTATGAACTGTGTGCGTATGTTAAGCTTAGATGAGTGGGAAGACACAGAATTTCCTTTGGGTTCAAAAGGCAATGAATGGACACCTTTTTCAGGTAAGTTTACTTCATAAATAAAAATTAGTACTCCTCCGATCCTTAATATAAGACCCAATTCCTAAGTTGGTTTTGATCCTAAATATAAGACTCATTTCTCATATTTATCAATTTTTTCTAAACTACCCCTATAGATACTCCCTCAACCATAATCAAGTAAAAGAGGAAGAAGGGGTATTAAGAAAGATAATTATGGTATTTTAGGAAAAATGTGTCATTTTTCTTATAATTAACTAACTTACCTAACTTTCTTAATCTAATCAAATTAGTTAAATGGATATTATATTAAGGACCGGAGGAGTAATATTTATGCCATGCATAGAATCTAAATACTGTAAATTTGATTAATATATAAATGTAAAGTATTAATGGATGGACATAGATAGATTGTAAGAAATGGATATCTGTGAAATTGTGACAGTCAGGCGAGCAACAGAAGGAAAAAAGTAAATCTGAATTAAGATATTATGGCAAGAAAACTGAAATAGGATATTCACCCCAACCAAAAAAAAAAAAAGCTAAATAAGGGACAAATGAATTGTTAGTTTCTTACTTTTCTTTTTCGGACAAAAAAATTGTTACCTTTCTTTCTGGTTTGTGTTCATCATTATCTAATTTTATTTTGCATTTTTATTTGTTTTTGATCCTATTGAAATTTTTTTTACCAAAAGTTTTTATTTTTTGAGGAGAGTCTGTAAATTTCTTTCTTTTTGTTTGGGAAATTAAGGCGTTAGGTTGGTGTTTAGCTGGCAAAACACAAACTGTCAGATTAAGTTCAGAGCTTTGATCGCATCATCCGAACCTGAACTGAATTTAACGATCGAAATTAAAAACAGCAACAAGACAGGAGGCTCTTAGGGAGGACATATTTTCCGTTTTGGGGCTCCCACACACCTACCTCATCAGAAATTTCGTATATTATTTTTTTTCACCAAGAGAAATTTCATATAATTTTTTTTAAAACCTGAGACAACTTTTATATGTGAGATAACTCAAAAAGGAAATTTTTTTAAAATACACTAAAAATTTATAGCTGAACTTATAAGAGTTTTACGTATTATAGAATACGAATATCATACATTTTTCATAATTTAAAGTATATTAATTCTCAACAAATAAAATATAAAAAATTGAAAATTTTTTATTCATATGGAAGAAGAGAAAATTCTTACTACTATTTTTCATAACCTGAACTATTTAGATCACTATATTTAAACAATGTACATTTTAATTTAATGCTTAATTCTAAATTTTTAATTAATTAAACAAAATCAAATTTTAAAAAAAAAAAAAAAAAGAAAAAAAAAAAGAAGAACAACAGTTACCCCAGTGACACTCAAATAGTGATTGGTTGAATGACAGAAGGGAATGAACGAAGAGGAAAGGTCAGAATTGGATGGTGGGCCTAATTCTGAAGAAGAGTCAACAACTCGTGGGACCCTATACCTTCCGATGGACCCCACCTACATAGATTCCTTTTATATAATCGCTTTCTTCCGCGTACGCTGTTCTGTTCTGCTCTCTCTTTGAATCTTTTTTCTTTCTTATAAATAAAAACTACTATAAAATTACTTAATCCAAAACATTGTGTCTGGAAAGAAATATTCCAACCACGAAATTAATGAGCCAGGAAAATGCCAAAAAAAAAAAAGACAAAAAAATATATAAAGGTTCACAAAATAAAATGGTGGGTCAGGGGTGAGTCCCTTTTTAATATTTTATTACAAACACTTTAAAATTATGTGCTTGCATCAGTTGCATGCCAGGAGAACAAATTTTTGTCGGGTGCTATACAGAATAAATTTAAAAAAATGCAAATGGGCTAGTTGTTCAATAAATTTAGCATTCTCGTCCAACAACTTCTATGTTGTGTGTTAGTAATCATGGGAAGTTGGGGAACCTTAGGACTTTGTTGTTTGAAATGAAAAATCATATTCCAACTTTTGTATATAAATGATGACACTTATAAATTACTCAACCCAGTCATAATACAAGTCTTTTTCAATCAACTTGACTTGTGTAAAATATAAGCCCAGTTTGATAATGCATAAAGTATCTGCTTTTTTTTTTGGGCCCTTGTATATAATTAAACTTTGTAAGTAATTAATTTATTATAAATAATACTAATTCTAATCCTTAATATAAGAGCTTGTTTGACTTTTATTTTGATCTTAAATATGAGACTTCAATTCATCTTGTTTTTCATATTTATCCTCTTTTTTTTCAAGATATTTCTTACAATAGTAATAATTCTACCCAATACACTTAATTAGCAATAATATTTTAAAAACAACAACACGTATTTATTACAAATAATTAACTTAACTAGTTTTCTTAATTTACTCACATTAATTAATCAGTTCTTATATTAAGGACGAGAGGTGATATAATGGTATATTTCAAAAGTTTAATTTTGTTGACATATTTAATCATATAACTGCCCTTTGACTACCGTTTTTGTTCCATATTCGGTAGTCAAATCAAACTTATATTGCTGAGAGGAGGAATATTGCATTTACAACAACTTGTGAGACTTGCTTCCTGTGAATTCAAATAGAAATTAATTGATCTTAACGAATAAATACAAGGCTGGGCCATAAGAATACGTCAAACATGCTTCTGAAAGATTTATTTTAGATTTCTCAGACAGGGTAAATGCAGAGGTAATATATGGATGAAGAAACATAATAAAGGAAAGAATATTCTGCACATTTCCAATGTGGTGTGATTGTACAAAACGAATACCAACCAATACATTATCCTACAAACAACAGTTCCCCAATTCAATGGACCTGAAATGTAACATAGCAATCTCATGAACTATCCTATAATTCACCATCATGGCATCAAATCAATATATGGTCAAGGTAAAAATTGGGTGCTAACAAAAATTTAAATAGCTAAATAATGAAGAGGGTAAAGAAAAAAGCTGTGCTAGAGGGGGGGGGGATCTCAACAAAATAAATGTCCTAGCATGCTGTTTTTAGAACCAACCATGACACAGGTTTCAGCTTTCTCCATCTTCATATTCACTTCCTTCAATATTCTCTATTGTCCCTCACAGAAGATCGATAGTAGTATTCTCTCTTTCTCCAACTAGAACCAGAATTAGAGGTGGCATTGTTGCTGTGTCACCATCTGAACTTGTTGCTTAAGAGCATGTCAGGATGGTACCATATCTGCAAAAACGTTGGGATGCCAGCAAAATACACCCACAATGCTTTAAATGTCTTGGCCTTTCAACCAACTTTCTTCTATCTCCCTTCTCAAATTCATGTCCAATAAAAACTCAAGCCGCAAAAACCTGTATTACTTTGTATCTCTTCGGTTCTATATATATATATATATATCTCATACCATAGCTTCTTGCTCCTCAGCTATGACTCCAAGATGTGACAGGTCCTTACAAAATCATTAGAATAATTAACATACTTGGTCCAAAATGGCCGAAGATGATCAAAGCCAATTTGCAACCAGGGCTTTGACTGGCCATTATAGTGGATAACTGCAGCCTTTTTCACGTCCTCGATACTGGTTTTATTTTGATAACCCAAGCCAAGCAGGTGCCAGGAGGGGTCAATGGGATGAACATGACCTCTAAACGCAATCAAAGCAGGTGGTAGGGTTCCAAGCTTCCACATTGTCAGGTTTGACATCAGATTCTGCCATACAGAAGCCGTTAACAACGCCCAGAACATTTTTACCAAGAAAACAAAAGGCCCCTCTACCCAATATAACACCATACTCAGATGCAGCTACGTCAATGTTTTGGTTCAAGTGTGAAAAAGAAATTATGTTATTCAAGTGGCATTTACCCGATGCTATCAATTTTGTGCCTCAAAATTAGCATAAAATCAGCCCCTGGGCTTCTTGACAATATTAATCAAATAGAGTAAATTTGTATCATTCTGGACATTAAACAAAT